TGAAAGAAAATAAATCCAATAATGCATACAGATACGTGGCATAACTCTTCGCTAAATTACCATATGAAGGAAGTTGGTTAGCAACAAATTCGTGATAAATAAAAAATGTCCACAAGTTATATAAAAATGCTACAAACGCAACGAAATTACCGAAGATAAGCGCAATTAGCGTAAGCAACGTTGCCAGTTACTAGAAAAATATTCCGGGAGGCAGAACAAACCAAATAAAGTGGAATGAAATTTATCCACTTCGTTTATAGCTGATTATATATAAAACATTCCAGAAATTTTTTATCTGGTTTTCCGAATCAACGATGCTGAGAAACGACTCCTCAAATTTTACGTCAAATTTACTCATCTGAATTTGATGAGATACGTCAAGAGTGCTATGAAACATTGAGCATACATGATTGTTTCCTTGACCTAACCTGTAGATTTTAATAGCTTCTGATACGCCAGATGACAAATAACTCATACTGAACGCGTGGAGACAAAAAATTTTGAAAATTTCCCTTCCCAGCTAAAATACTCACCAGGCACAGGTTTGTACTTGGCCAACAAAAGTAACAGTTCAGAAATATGTCCTTCCATTCCCTTGGCTTTAATTTTCATTCTGCATACATTCTGGGTGTTCACACGGTGTCAAATTTCGCTCGGCGAGTAAACGAATATCATCCAATATTCCAGCTAGAATATCACATCGCCTACTTTTAATTACGCTAACTGCAATTTCCTTCTATTACAACTAGCGGATCGCCAGCTCCAGTAATGACTGAGCACACAACTTACTAGATCCCTGCTTACATGCTTTTCGATCTATTTTCCACCAATCTCTGAAACCTTCCGCAGTCGACAATCCAGGCTTTCCGCTTGAAGATATCTTGCAGCTGAAACCAACCTGAGCCTCCGTCGAAGGAGGATACAAAGGGCATGCATGCAATCATAGCTCAATGCTTTGCAAATCTTCAGAAAAGAAGGTTGCACTTAGCCTCATCCAAGATAGCACCACTTATTGAAGTCATGATAGACGTGGTGGATGCAAGTAGCCCAGAGCCAGTTAATTTTAGCTAGAATTTCCTGGCCAATCTTAACAGGCTATTGTCAGACATACATAAAATCGTTTTATGTGCTATTATCGTGCCGATGTTTGGTTGCAGTGCCAATTCTCCCACTTCGCGGATATCTTCTGCATCCGCATTCCAAAAATCGACTACTATATTCATGCTGAAATATCACCTTCATTTGCTTGCATAGCAACGTTCGCAGTACCATGGTTACTTGACCTCATACTTACAAATGAGGAACTCATGGTTGACAAGCTATTTATAGACACCACAATAGGGTTAAGCGATCATGTCACCGTACTTTATAACTATGCGTGTTACACCGAATATCCGGAATAACACACATAATAAATATGCGTTGTTACACACTAAATACTCCTGGATGAGCTAGATGAGACGACCGATTGGGAATACCTGAAACCTTTTTCTCATGACAGTAACTGGTTTCGGTTTGTCGGACACTTCAGTAATCCAATCGCAACTGCTTCTTAAACGAAGCACATTGGTTCCAACAATCCCCTGCTTTACATCAGCAATAAAACGCGCGAGAGCGAATCAATAAGGAATGCAGCTTGGCAAATTTAGTGTGCTTGTACTGGTCCAGAAACAGATTGTTAACAGATTGTTAACACCAATCGGCATCTCTCCATTCAACACGACACTCTGAGTGGCACAGATTGCTGACGAGGCAGCAGACGCCCTAGGGATGCAGTAGGCCCCTACCTTCCAAAACGAGACGTCCGCCATTTGTACCCTCCTACAGCAATAGGCACAAATTCAGCGCTTAATCACATCGCTCTTGTTACTACAACTGTGTTAAAGAAACTGCTGTCGCCACACACCTCCAGATCGGCCAGAAACAATGACATCAACTAGATGGCGTTGAACCTAGCAGCAATAACGCTGGCTGGGCCAATATTGTATTTCTTCCAAACTTGCGTGGTTAAGGAAAATGTACTTACTATGTGAAAACATATCAAAACCACCATGATTTTCAAAAAGCGGTTATCGCTGGGAACCCACCAACTATCGCCCTGTGGTCCTCCTCCCTGTACTCTCGAACGTGATGGAGGCAATCAATGCTGATTCTTTAGTTGACAAATTATATCGCCGCAACATCAGAACATCCGAGCAACACGGTTTACGCCAACACCGTGCATGTTCTACCAATTTGCTGATTGCGCACTATTTTTCGTAAATGGCCGGTATATTTAGAAGGGTACAAGCCTTTTACCTAGACTTCCCAAGGACTTCAACCGACTGGACTGCTTCATACTTTTTCGAAATCTCAACAGCTGTGGATTGGGAGATGCTCTCTTTGGGTGGATCAGGATTTTCCTACAGGATTTGCAACTGCAATTCGGAGATCGAATTGTGCTGTCCAATCCAAATCATGTTAAATGTGTAGTTCCACAAGGAGCAGTTCTGGAGCTGCGTATGTTTCGTGAGTTCTTCAAAGAATTTACGCATTTAATATTTCTTGCAAATCGCTGATGATACTAAGATGACGCTAACGAACGCTGACCCATAAGACCGCGATGCGCGTAGAGATGGTTTTCACAGATGAATCAGTATACTGTTTCCTGACATATTCATGGTTGTTCGAATCCGCCCAAAGCTATTAAAATTATGGGAATTCGGAGGATTTGGCATATGAACCTGTACATAATTGGGTATCAGTCAAATTGCTGCAGATGTAATCTGAAGGAAACATATTTATTTGTGATATTTTGTATTTTTCTGCAAATAAATACTTTTGTTATAAGACAATGGATTGGAAATTGTCTTTGACATAAAATACGCGTTGATAACTAGGGTTAACTACGGTTGTTGCGAAGGACTCACCATGTGTGGTTGACAACAAATTGACGCTTCCGGTTAACTCATGTGTGCCGGCTTGCGAACCGGTGCTTCTGACTCCGACTGTCGTATCTGCACAGGGATATGCAAAATAGGAAATTGAATTAAGAGGGGGGACGAAACCGTAATTGAGCCACAGGGAACACGTTGATAAAGTCAGTGTTTGCTCGTGTGATTTCAAGTGGTAATTCTACCACTCATGCAGAATAAGTGTTTCAGGAATTACATTTGCCAATTTCTATAACCCTATATGATAGGGGCAAATGATAACATGCAAGTATCGACGTATTGATAGCTTGCAAATGTAGGTAAGTCAGGAGCATTCTTTAAGTCGAGGAGAGCATTTGTGGGTTGAACATACTTTGGCAATTCTATGGAATGTTTTTCGCTCAATTTGGCTAACATTATGGGGAAACTTAATGTTATAATGATTGGTTGTCTGCATAATTTTACGTAAAATGGGAATGTAGAGATGCTTTGAATACAGGAATTGTTCCAGTAATAAACATCCGCAGGAGTACATTCGAAAACGCATTTCTGGAACACAAGTTCTATAAAGCACACGCATCAAAAAACATTTACAGCTGAAATCAATAGAAAACAGTTTGAATTTAGCAAGTTGTTGATAATGGAAACATCGCGTCCAAATCACCGTGGAACGTAAGGAGGATTTTGAAAATGCAACTACTATTCCAACCGTGGAAATCGTTTTTGGTGTTCTGATTGGTTCACCAGCATTTTACCAATGGTAAGGCTTCATGACAAACTTCTACACGATATATGAATACAAGCAACGGCGTTAATAGATCGATTTGACAAACGGATCTTGACAATGAACCACAACGCAATACACTTACCTAGAGAAACGTTCGTCTGATTTCCTTCCGTCGCATCACCGCCGGTATGCGACCTCATCACCGCAACTGTGGTTGCAGGTACGGTGTTAGTGGTCGATGCGTCTGCGTTATATTGTCAGCAATAACGGCAGCATGCGTGGAAGTTAGGAAAGGTTGCAGGCAATAACCACGCGATTGAGTGATAAAACCACACTCTTTTCAAATCCTTTCAATAATTCATGCAGAAAATTTTGACGAAAATCCCACAACCATATCCTGATTGCTCTTATCTGGATTGCATCTTGTACGCTTAATGCGACATACCAAATTAGAGATCAATGGCTTCATAACAACTTCTGCCGCCCACGGCTGGATTAAATTTGTTGCTCAATTGGCAGCTGTAATTCCGTAATTCAGCACAACTGCCAACATATTTTGAATAGTTCCTTTTCTAAGACAACAATCAAAGAGGTACTTTAAATGGCTGCCGTAAATGACGGCATTTGTTTTGTTTCAATGTGTTGTAAACGCTTTTTCTTTACCTATGCCTGTTGCAACTCCTAGCTGAGTCAAGGAAAAGCAACTCCCATCCGCTCTGCACACAAACGTTCTACTTACTAGTATGAGGATAGTACAAGTAACTGTGTGTTTAAAAACATACTGGCCTATTGGATCGATCGCCTGAACGCCCGCCGAGGCAGACGCTTCCCACATTCAGCTCTGCTTACGTCTCTATTAGTTCCCACTTCAAAACGATTGTCCCAGCTATTTTCGACATTTGGGCTTGATCGCAGATGTTTAATCTGGGGTTCACCTCTCGCCATCGTGGTTGCTTTTTCTTCCACTTGGCCTGCACGATAGGTCTTGTGACTCCCGAGCAACCGGCTGTGTTTCGCTCTGGAGATCAACTTGAAGCGATGGTGGTCGTCTCTGCTTTGGTTGGGTTCTGATTTGGGGATGGGCTTTTTGCCATGCTGGTCGTTTCCGCTTTCGGGTCAGGCTGCATTGTGCGTCACCTGCTGCTTACATCATACGTTGTGATCCACGTAGCTGCCCTGCTTCCCCTTCTAAACACAACGTGTCTAGCAGGAAGTCCCATGGTAGAGAGGGAGGTTATGGCAGTCTTGGAGTCTAGCTGTGATTGTACCTCGGCTGAAATTTGAGGCTGAGGCATTTACAAATTCCCATTATTGGCTCGTAGATGACCCAAACTTTACAGTGGAGCACTCTTCCAATAAACCGTTGACACCTTCAGATTGGCAAGCTTCAATTTAAGCACATTGCTACGTATCGGTCAACAGGCAGCACTTGTCTGCATAGTAGAGACCATCCCGACCGATTTCCGCTGCTTATCGGAGACGCGTCTGCGAGACTCGAGCTCTGTGCTTACTTTGCAATCTCATTCAGCTGACACCAGCAGCACTTGCTCATTACGCCTATCCAGAGACGATGCAGCTTCGAGCACCGGCCAATCCGGTGTTGGTTTTGCCCTGAGTCCCTTGGCTGAGGCTGCTCTGGTTAGTTGGATCTCAATCAGTAGACGGATGTGTACGGTACGATTGGCTGGCTCATGCAACGCTTAGAACTCGCGCGGGACTAACAGGTGTTTACCCATCACCGCTCTCTATAAACCCGCAAACTCTAGCCATGATTCGGTAACATATGATTTCTACCGCCAAATGACCCAGCTACTTTTCCACAGAAGAAGCACGGATCCTGTTGTGCTGGCTGGGCATCTGAACGCTCAAGTTGGAATATTATCCACTGACGAACTGCATCTGGGCGGCCAACATAGTGTAGGCTACCGTAATGATAACGGTGAGCGGTTACTTCTTTTGTGTAAAGATGCTCGCTTATTTCTTGCGAGCACTAATCTCCGACATAGCACCCGCCGGAGGGTGACTTGGCGCCCATCAAACTCGAACCAACTATGGTCGCAAATCGATCCCATTGCGATAAGTTACCGATGGTGAGGCTGCGTCCGCAACTGTCGCTCGATTTGGAGCACATGTGGGGACAGCGACATTTCACATGTGTGTGCTGACTTGCGGAGGCATTTTGGCGAACGCTTACGAAAATGCTGTGAGCGCATTCACATCAGATAATTGTCGAAGCCAGCTGATCTGAGTGCGTATCATAGTACGCTGACAATGGTTGAGAAGCAATTGGTCCTACTGCGCTGGCCACCGCAGAATATAATCAACGTTGCCCTATCTGCTGCGTCAAGCAGGGGGATAGGAGTCTGGATGCTACTGCTCAAGTCTTCCCATCTTCTATGCCCCTCTTACGCTTTTCACCATTATCGTCCCGTTCCAGCTTCCCTTTTTATCCCGTAGTTTTCAACCCCCCATCAATTGGCCCTCTCCCAACTTGCTTTGATAGGCTTTCACCTACTAGTTTCAACTCACATATGAACGCAGAGCGTCATTTCTGCACTGTCGACAAGCCCATGTCCAAGCAAGCTGCAAAGCCCGGCTCATCGGCTTCCGTTTGGAGCCGTTGATCCCCCTTCAGTTTGTCAAGCTTCAATTTAAGCACACTGCTACAGATCGGTCAACAGGCAGCACTTGTCTGCATAGTAGAGACCATCCCGACCGATATCCGCTGCTTATCGGAGACGCGTCTGCAAGACTCGAGCTCTGTGCTCACTTTGCAATCTCATTCAGCTGACACCAGCAGCACTTGCTCATTATGCCTATCCGGTGACGATGCAGCTTCGAGCGCCGAGCTCAGAGGTGGAACGTGAGGTTTGACTATGGATGTTAAATAAATCTTCGGGAGCAGATGATCTTCATCTAGCCCTATCCACTTTAGGGCTTCAGCTCTTAATTATGATATACACGAGGTGCTTGTGAAACTGTGGGAGCAGGAAACAGTCCTGATCGACTGGGGCCGCTCCGCAATTGTCCGGATAACCAAGGGAGGAACATGATCGGAAAGCGGCAACAATAGGGGAATTATAAGTAGGTGATTTTGATGTAATTACGGGAGGTTCATCGCATTCCGTTTCTCATTCTTATAGTCGTCCACAATCCCGGAAAAGCACTAGACTGTAGTTTAAGTCTGTTGGACGTCGTCAGTAGTGCGCATCTATCATGCACATCAAGAATCGAACCCTGACGATGCCCCACATGCTGCCACTACATTCTAATGCTTTTCCAGGTATGTGGACGAGTAACTGATTTGGAAATGGGCCGCGACCAACCACCCTTAGCAGAGGAAACATGCTGATCTCCATCGCCTCCAAATTGCTGCCTCTGACCTCGTTCACAGGGGGCCTGGCACTCTTGAAAATCTTGTTCGTGGAGATCAATCCGGCTTTCATTGATGTCGTGACTGTGTAGACCAAATCCTCACTTTGCTTCAGCTGTTGTAGCCCCATCACATATATTGGAGGCCCAACGATATCGTGTTCTACGACATAGAATATGCATTCATTTTGGTTGATAGATGTGCGCTTAGCGAATGTCTAATCAGGAAGTGTGTACTCGAGAATTATGTAAATACATGCCAAACACCATAAACGCGTACCTCGGGCAGGATGAGTGATTAGAGCCAACTGCCGTCACAGTTCAATATTTCCAGCGGTGTGAGACAAGGATGCCCGCTGTCAAGTTTCCTTTTCAACTTTGCTGATGACTAAATCATGGAAATCGAGTTCAGAAGACATGAAATAGGATTTGTACATCTGATCCAATAGAACGAATTCTTTACTTGTAGCAAGTTGACGATATTGCCCTCATCAACGACAGCTCCCAGACGTGCCAAGCGGCACTGGACAGATTATCACTGGCTGTCCGTCACTTCGGGCTTTGCTTCGTACCATCGAAGTTCAAAAGATGCTTCCAAACTTGGCCTGGACCGCCTCCTGCGCTGACGCTTGGTGGGGATCAGCTAGAAGTCTTTCAAAAGTTTAACTATCTAGGGAGATGTATCAATGTCCGTGGGATTGAAGATGAGATCACGAACCGTATAGCAAAAACCTGAGGAGCTTTCTTAACGTTCGCCACTTATGGCGGCAGCGCTACATCATTCTCGCCTTGAAGGTTACAGTGTACATTGTAGCGGTACGTTCGACCCTACTGTACGGTTGTTGAACTGGCCCTTTAACTCAGCCGAGGCTAGTCACCTTCGACCCTCGGTGCCTTCGCAATTTAGCTTACATTTGGTTGGAAAACCGAGTAAGCATAGCGCATGTTCGACGCATTGTTTACGGTACAGGGAAAGGAAATGATC